GCTGCTCTACCTATGATCCCATCCTTTTTACTTCTGCTTTTCCAGAGAGGATGGTGTCACTTGTGTTGAGTCCAAACAGCTGAGCGAGGTATCTGACATCGACAAGGCACTCAACAAACTAAAAAAAAAACAAACATTAAATGAATGATAGATTTATAACTTGTAAAGGAGGATGGGCATTTCTGTTCAAATTTGAAATGTTTACCCCAAGGGATATTACAGCTGTGCTGATCTGTATGTTTCAGGGAGAAGCTACAGTGACTGTGAAGTCCTAGATGGGGGAAAGGAAAATCCTCCCTGCATGAGCCACAGCTGAAAATGCTTTGCACAGAGCTAGAGATACTGATGGTCTGGAAGATCCCACAGGTGGAACAAATGCTGGGACTCCCTGCTGTGCTGACCCTTTCTCTGTAGCCATGTCCAAGGGCAGCTGCCCTCCTCAAGTTCAACCCTGTTGAAGGTCTGCGGTCAGGATCCCCTAAAGCCCTCTGCATCTTCTCCATCAATGTCTTAGTCATGCAGTGAAGAGCATGTACTTCCAAACCACATGGACCTCCAGGGTTCCTGGATGAGCGGGCCCCTCTGCAGCGGTACCACCTTGAGCAAATGATTTAACTTTCTTGACCAGTGTCTTCAACTGCACAAAAATAATTGCAACTATCAGAACATGCATAGTCCCTTCTGTGAAGGAAGCGGCCAATAAGTAATAGTCATTGTTATTATTATTATATTATTATCATAAATTCTTTGGTCTGATCTTTATCTTCCACCATCCCACATCAACTTCAAAGCTTCCTACCAAATCAAAAGGCCTGCAGTGCCAAGTCCTGCTTTTGGCTGGTAGCATCAGCCTGATGCCTTTTCTGTGAATCCTCAGCCCTAGAGCCTGCTTTCCTGCCCTAAGAATGCTCAGTTCCCATATGTTCCCCAGCTGCCTACCAGCTCTGTCTCCTAAAGGTTAACCTTGTGTTCCAAGCATTATTTTCAAGCATTACCTTTCCTTAAAAAAATGCAATATATCAATGGTTAGGATATCAAAGCATCTTCACACATACACACACACACTCATGCATGTGCAAACACATGCTTGCCCAACCCCCCTCACCCATCTCCATGTGCAAGGCCCTCTTCCTCAAGCTGTCTGTCACACCCACCCATAAACTTCTGTAATGGAGTGGGCAATGTCATTACTGATCGCTGCAACAATTCTACTCAGTCACACTCAGTGGCAAACAGCTTCTAGAAAAGGCTTTGCATGTCTCTGAGCCATCCCCTTTACCTCCTGGCTCCTTCCACCCGGGCTTCCACCATAGGCACATCTGTGCTTGCTGCACTAACCTTCCCACCCTCTAACCAAATGCAGGCGGAGGATTGAAGAGAGCAGCTCACAGGCTCAGGCTGTGACTGTCCTGCTCTGAGGTCCCCCTCTTCCCTGCTGTCTCCCTGGGTCTGGAACCAACCTCCAAGCCCAGGGACTCAGTCACCACAGAAGAGCTTGTGTTACAGCACATTGTGAAACATGTGTCTTTTGACAAGTCCACTTTCGCCACTGTAGTTTGAGAAAGCAGCATCAGGGATTGGGGGCTTGGCTGGTTTGTAGGGGGACTTTGAGGAAGCAGGGTTCTGCGGGGTGGTTCCAGCTGAAACAATGGGTCTGTGGCTCTGGCTCTTCCTGCAAGGGTTGGGATGGGTTTTGGAGGTTCTCAGCTGTCACCAGGCTTCAGGTGCCCTCACTGAGGCTGCCAGGCTGGAGAGATCAAGCAGCTTGGGCAAGGGCCCAGCATGTACTCTGTACAGCCAGGACAAGTGGAGCTCATGGCCTGGGCTGCATCTTCCTGGTGGAGTCAGAGCTCTGGGTAGCTGTGAACCAGCTGCACAGATTCTAGTGCTGAACATGTTCAAAGGTGGGAAAATAAATTCGGGTGGTTTTTCTAAGTCTCCATGGAGCATTTTTACATTGACTGCATGAAGGAAAAATCACACAGAGACACACATGTGATAGGGAGCAAGAAATCATTACTCAAAAGTGCAAAATTCGGCCCTCCCTGGTGGCGCAGCACTGAGAATCTAAAGCCGCTTCCTCATGAGTTCAATTCCCACCTGCCCCGGAAGTGTCCACATGGCTCGGCAGACCTTTCCTGGCCCACCCACTGCTCCCAGTGTGCTTCGTCGATCTGCCTGTTCTGTTCCCCACTCTGTCTCTGTTGAAGCCTCTCGCTGCCCCTGAGCCTCTGGCTTGGACCCCAGCTGTGTATGCACAAATAAATCTTAAAAAAAAAAAAAGTGCAAAATTCTAAAATGCCAGCTGGGGAAGGCATTGTTGGGGGGGCTGGAGTTGGGGTAGGGAGAATGAGAGAGAGGAAGCAAAGCTGGCCCCATGAATTTACAAGAAGGAACATACACACAATTACACTTTTTCAGAAAATCAGGTGGGTTGCTAATAGTTCTGCTCAGAAGGATTAGAAATACCTTCCCTGGCACATCAGAGGGGAAGGATTGCAGGCATGTCAGTAAGACTAGGCTGGTGGTTTGGCTAGGGACCCGTAGAAGGGACCTGAGGTCTGCCTCCCATGGGGTAGGTGACTGATACACTTTAATTAGCACTAATCCTCCACTGTGGTGGAGGTTCTATTTCTATTCTAGAATTAGGATTCCAGCCAATTCCCCCACAGCTAATCATCATCCTTAACACTAATACTCACATGCCAGGAACTGGATGCTTTTGTTATATTGCAAAACAATGCCATGATCTTCATTTTACAGACAAAGAAACAGGATCAGAGAGGTTAAGTGACTTGTTCAAGTTCACACAGCTTGTAAAGAGGAGAACCTTAGAGACTAATGAGAAGACAGGGGCCTCCACTAACAGCCAACACGACTGTTCCCCATTACATTCATTAAGGAGGTAAGGATGCACACAGCTATCTCTGCAATAGAATATATGTTGGTGAAGGTCTCCCCTCAGTGAGTTATCAAGGTGAGGCAGATACCGGGAACAAAGAGGGGCCTGAACCTGTGTTCTATCAAGTTCTTCACACTGCAGCACCCCTGTTGATAAGGCTGCAGCAAGAAATGAAGTCATAAGCGAAGATGAGAGTGTGGAGTTTCCCAGGAGCCAGACACCAGCCATCCTAGATACTCCTGTCCAAGATGAATCTCCCTGGTGTCGCTCCACTCGCCCTCCACAGGCAGACACATTCCTTCCATTCAAGGCTGAGCTTGACTTGGCCCTGCTGTTTAGAGACTGTGCCTTCCCAAGCTGGGGTCTGGGGTCTCCATCGTCCAGATCATCTACCCCCACAACTAGGCCCTCTAGACAGGTGCTCCACCCATTTGGCATAAAGTGCTAGAGGAGGCATACACATAGGACAGAAGTCCAGCCTGAGAGTTGGGCGTGGCTCAGCCCTAAGACACCCCCTCCCAATCCCAGTCATGTTGCAAGCGGGTTCACTGTGCTCTTGATGTGGACTCTGTGAAGCTACAAACTATGTCGCTGCAGAGAGCTCTGCTTCTTTCTCTAGAATTGCAGTGTTCACTGAAATGCAAGGCTGCCAGAAAGAAGGGGTGGGGGAGGGCAAGGGGAAGGGAGACAATGGTCCCCCCTTCCAAACAGGGATGGCAAGTTCTGCCACTTCCTGCTCAGTGACCAGGAGCAGATTCAACCCTCCAGCCTCAGTGTCCTCGCCTGTAAAACTGGCCACTCAAAGGATTCGTGACAGCTGGTGGCAGTGTTTGACAGTGCCCAGGGATCCCTCACTTCCTGCCCTCTATTGTAGGCGCCCAGAAACGAACATGGCCTAACGATGCTATTAACCGAAGCCAGGCGATTTGTTGAGTCTGCTTCCAGAGGCTCATGTCACTTAAGGACGCATATTCTACTAGGCTTCTGTTGGGGACCTCTGGGGCGCAGGCTGCTTCACGACACCATGCACAAGCCTTGAAGGCAGAGAAATCAAGGGACACTCAGGACAGGGGTGCAGGAAAAAGTGGTGTGTTCCACAGTGGGATTGTGTCCCCACAAGATGGGAGATGAGCATCTTTAGGGAGCTGACAAACCACAGAGGGGAGGGCACTGGTTGCCTCCACCACTGGCCTGCAGGACAGTTGAGGCCCTCCCCAGTGACCTCTTGGCTGTGTGTCCTCCTGGCAGTGACCCCTGCTGGGGTGTAGTAGGCATGGGAGGGGGTCCCTCCCATCTCAAAATGATGCACAATGCCTAAGGGGGGGAAGGTAAGGGGCCTTCTTGCTCGAGTGTGTACTCTGTGCTAGAAAAGTCTGCAGCGGTGATTTAGCTGCATCCTCAAGAGCCCTGGAAAGTGGACAGAAATTCCCATCTGATTTCTGACCCCCGAAAACCTAAGCTTCGAGTCTTCTAAACCTTGTCAAAGCCCCAGGGCAGAGTGGACACTTGAATCCAGGTTTAACTCCAAACAGAAGCTTGTTTCCATCCCTCATGCTGCTCTGGAGGGGGGCAGCCAGATGAGGGGCGGCCGTGTGCCAAGAGGGTGTCTCACGGGTAAATTATCTCCTGAGTGTCGATTATTCATCATCCATTTCAGTTCACTTCTGGGTAACCATACGATCATTCTGTTTATACATAGTTAACATTTTTTTCCTATGTGACTTAGGGAAAGAAAACCACTTACAAAAAGCAAAATAAAACCAAAGCCAAAAAATAAAAAAACTCTAACCCTTCCACCATCTCAAACCCCAAACAAGTTTTTGCTGAAAAGAAACTTCCAGAACTAAAATTGCCAGGTTCGTTGTTATTCTTCCAAGCTGGTGACATCAGAGCACATCATCATTCTAATTGGCAAGACAGCGGAGCAAGCCTGAAGAGTCTTGACAGTGAAGTTACTGGCCAGAGTTAAGGGTGAGGTTCTGCTACTGGGTATCATTTTCTATGGAGGTGATAACAGTTCTTTTGATTCATGGCTCCAACATGAAATAGACCAGGGCGGGGCACGGAACTGTGTCTACACACAACTCTGACATCATCGGATTTCAACAAGTTTACTAAAACGAAAGCAGTGCCCTTGACAATACTGAATGCAAACCACTGGTGTACAGATTTTACAGAGTGGCCTGGGAGCCAGGTCACAGAAGAAGGTTTAACAGATGGCAGAGGCCTGAGGGGAGGCAAGCACACTGATTTTATTGAGAAAAAAGCTTATATACTGTAGGGTTGCTGAAGTTTAATAAATAAAGGTCAACTTATAATATATAAAAACAATATAAACATTTATATGCTACATGCATATCATATAATTTAAAGTAATAATTTATATATGGGGAGAGATGCCAATTCATGTTCTTCCGATTTTTCTCGACAAGGCACACACACAAGAAGTGTCTATCCGTATCCACCGCCAGCCCACGAGTTTGTTGTTTTCCGACGTCAGTGCTCGGACATAGGTCTGAGACGTCTTGCACTGAGAGTTCCAGTGTTTATCATCAATCCCCCTGCAACCGTTTTTGACAGGCCTGGCTTCTTTACATCTCGTCTCATAAAAATATTGTTTGACCGGAGAGTTGCCGGTTTTGATCTCCCCCAGCACCGTGACCTGGTGTCCCCGAATGTCGATGGCCGATGACTTGTCGGTCACCCACAGACTCTCGCTGTCACATACGGAATACTCCCCCCGATGACTCTTGTGCTCTGCATACCTCTTCCGCCGCGCGGTTCTGTTGACCACCACGGGGTTGCCCACATAATCCTCCATGAGGTATAAGGGCGGAGGCTCCAAGGGGGTGCTGTCGCTCAGCAGAACCCGGGGGGAGCTGTAGCGTCTCTGCTGCCGCAGGTGCTCCGTGTCCATCACGATCACCGGCTGGAACTCGGACTTGGCGGGCTCGCCCTGCTCCCGCTCCCGGGGCGGTGCGGCTTTGGGCAGGGTGCTCTGGTAGTTTTCCTTAACGTCCACCACCTGCTTGGAGAGCTTGTTTTTCAAAATATCTGCCTGGATCAGCTTAATGATCAGGGAATTTAGTGAGTCTTCTGGCAAGCTCCTTTGATCCATGTTGTTACCTTGGATGCCACGGAGATAAGCGAGAAATATCACATAAAACAAGATGGACATCACCTTGTTCACCTGTAAGATCTGGAAGAGAAGGACAGGGGTTAATGGGAGGCCGTGGCCACTGCACCCCTGTCATTTCGCATTGGCTACCTGAGGACGGGTGCCGTGTGGGGCACGAGAGGGCAGACCAGGCTGCGAGATACCAGGACTTGTCTCTGCCATCCCGGAGGACGGCCTCTCTCACCCCTGCCCTGGGAGACAGGGAGACACTGCCTTGACAGAGGTCTCTACATCCGAGGCCCTACATTCCCAAGCTCCCTGCAGGCTGTCAGAACAGGGAGAGAGATAGGTACAGAGAATGAATGGCCAGCACACCCAGGACCCCAGAAGACACGCTCAGAGCCCACAAAGCCAGGGAAAACCCAGACTGCCCAGTAGGGAGAAAGCAGCTCCCCAGCTCCACTTCGAGGTTGACCCCAAAGCCCAAACAGAGCAAAGGGGTGAAGGCAGACCCCCCCCTTTCCCCTTGTTGTTGGGCCGCTAAGCTATCCTCTGGGAGTGCAGGAGAAACTACTGCACGGAGTGATAAACTAATATTCCAGGTACACCAGAATCCGCAGAAAGGGACATGGGGAGCAGCCCCCTGCACCCCAGGAGTCCGCCATCTTTCCTCCAGATTGTTCTCCCTGGACTCTGCCTGCCTGGACCTCTTCCTGGACCTCTTCTTTCATTCTTTGCTTTGCCTGGACTTTGCTCTGAATTCTTTCATGGCCATCATCAAAGGCCAAGGAACCCCCAAATCCAGAAACACCTTCACCTCAACAAACTCTCTTCCAGCTGGGTGATCAGAAATAAGCCCTGTGTGTGTGTGTGTGTGTGTGTGTGTGTGCAGGGCCGGGGGCTGGCAGTGTGGTGGAGGGAGAGGGGTAAGAAGTGAGAGGTCAAAATAATTTGTTTAAACAAACCCACCAAGTATTACTGGATGGAACTAACTATGAAAGGATTTGGTCTCTTCTGAGGAACTTCTTCCGGGTCACAAAGAGCACCACAGGCAGAGGCAGGGTGAGGCTGCATCTCCAGGACCTGCTTCACCTGCATCAGAGGTCCCGTTCCCTGCATCCTCCTGTAAGTGTGGACAGCATCCTGCTACTTTTTAAAACATCACTTGAGTCTGAAACAGCCAGAGCCCACAGCACCTTGGGAATGGGAGACACTGAATCTGAAAGCAGATATCTGCATTCATCAGCAGCCGACACCTAGCAATTGTCTCAAGAAACACAGCCCCACTGCCCCCCACTGCATCCCATGGGGCTACTTTGAGCCCGGGTGGGGGCAGCAGGGGCCAGCCGGCTCCTCCCGGGCCAGGCAGACCCTGGTGAAGCTCTTCTCCTACCTTTATCCATGCATGCGAGAGGCCACTGCCCACTTGAGACAGCGCCCGAGTTTCAGGCTGCTCTGCCCAGCTTGCCAATGGACATGCTTCACCGGGAAGCCCAAGCGCTCCCCAGAGCCCCTGCAAGCTGCAGCCCCGCCAAAGAGCAACGAGCAGAAGATGGAGCAGCAGCAGCCGCCGCAGCCAGCTCAAATGAACGGGCCGGCCCTGCCCTGGGCAGGCAGGATGCTTGTTGATTCATTTCTTTCCCCCTGTTCAGCTTGTTCATGTGTAAGTTGCATCACAAAATGTTTCTTTGAGTAGCTCTATTTCTAATTCGGTTTCCTCCCGGGTTAGATGGCAATTTAACCCACCAACGCTCTCCTTTCGTTGCCATAGGAGAAGCTCAACACGGGGTTTCTGTTGAGTCCTTGTGGGATTAGAGGGCTGATCTCGAGACACCTTCATAGCTGGTGTCTCCCTCAGTAGAGCAAAGCCCAGATTTTCCGCAGGCTGGCACTCTCCATCGTCTCCCGGTGGGGAGGGGTGGCTGACTAGAGAGCCCCACCGTACACCGTGATTCTCGCTGCCTGCCCTGAGATACCCGTTCCTTAATTACCATTGCTACCGCCACCCTGGCCCCCAGGGGCACATTACTTCCTCTTTAAAGCTCCGTCTAAGCATGGAAAATAAAAATCCTTCCCTTGGTTCACCTTCGGTATTTTCAGAAAGACTTTACTAAACCCAGGGGGGACGTGGAAGGGAAATAAACAAAGGTGACGAAGAAATGGAGTCTCAGCTCTGCTTTCCGAGGGCCGAGTCTGAGCCTGCCTGTGCTCGCTGGCTCCCAGGACCCACATTCGCAGCCTCTTCCTATCTTGTCTGAGTCCTGTTCTTTTGTCTCCAAAGGCCAAGGCTGCAGGCCCTTTGCTCCAATGTCCTTCTCCTGGCTCCTACTGGCCTGTCTCTCTGATAAGGATAGCACTTTCCTTCCATGGGAACCACTTTCTGGACAACTGACTCCCCGGAGATCGAGATCAATGCTGTGAGAAGGGTTCTAGCTCAGCTGCCTACCTCAAAGGTTGCCCCAGGGATGCTATTATCCTAGGAAAATGGTTCTCATAGGATAACTAATCTACCTCCCACTCTGTACATCAGTGACATCTCCTCCAGCCCTTCAGGTCCAACGAAATGAAAAGTAAACGTAAGTACAGTAAACATGCAACTAGAATTATCCCTCACCCCAACACACTCCCAGAGGGGAAAAAAAAAAGAATATAGCTGCAGAAAAATAAGTTGGGACTGAGAATTTGAATATATTGCTAAATGTCCTGGCAAAGACCCCCTCATGGTCTAGCAGACGAGAGAACAAAGCCATCTACATTGACTTGAAGTCTGAGAAGTAACTATGCAAAAATATACTGCCTGCAGGTAGCCAGCCTTTCCAATCTCCCTAACACTAATAACTAAGGAGCATATAAAGAAGATTTCATTGAAAAGGTACCCAGGCTTTTTTTTTTTTGTCTCCATAATGTATTTCTTTAGTAATCAGGCAAGTGGTTAAAAACCCCACCATTTGCCTTTCATTTTATAGATGAATGAAGAAAACCTAAACTGGAATTCAAGCAAGGGGCCATAGGGAGGGCTGGCTTGTGCCTGGACCCAAACTCCTATGACAGCTGGCTCACCCACACCAGGTTCCAGAGGGCTCACTGCTCAGTAGCTACTAGAACAAGCTGTGTGAGCTGTGTGGCTCCTTCACCTACCTGTATTTGCACCTCTCCTGCTCTCCCTTCTCCAGGGCCTGCTCCCAAAGCTGACTTTTCTATGTGGTTCTCCAACAGTGCCAGCCACCAGCTACTCTGCTTTCTGGCAGTGTGTTTTCTTGAATAGCCGATGGTGTGGGGAAAGGATGGCTTTCCCGATCCCATGGTTTCCTCGACACACTCTCTTCTCTAAAGCTCTGTCCATGCTACATTGAATATAAGGTGGAGGTCTGGGCAGAGTCTGGGAGACAAGAGTAGATGAAGGCAGAACTAGCTACACAATTTGAAAAAATTATGTAGCATTGTGTGGGAGCTGGTGGTGGGCGTGGGGTGACAGAAGGTGTGACTGAGTTTAAACCAACAGTCCAAGCCCTCAGGCACAGGTTGTGTCGTCCCATTGGAGTTACTACGAAACACTTGCCTAAAGAAAGACAGAATTCTTCGCAATTTCAATATGGCACCCGGAGGGCAGTATTACTGTGTGTGGGATTGCTTTCTAAGTGCAGGGCCCCCGTGAGTGAAGGTAGGAGTCTGTGGTCAGCACTGGTGGTTCACCTACACAGCCTGCCCCATGGCCAGGACTAGATGCCCCATCTTGGTGAAACTGGTTAAAGGTAAGAGGAGAAATCCACTTTGGGTCAGGTGGCAAAACCCCAGAGGGGGCTGCCTGGGAGGGTGTCTCAGTCAGAGCTGTGGACAGGAGCTCTGACTTCGCCTGCCATCTGGTGGGGTCAACCTGGAGTGGCAGATAATGCAAAGGCCTGGTGACAGCCTGCTTTCCTCCCCTGGACAGTAGTGGCCACGGGAGAGGGATATGAACAGGACAGTGGGAGAGGGCGGGATGGTCAGAAAGGAGCAGGTTTTCATTGCTGCTAAGGCGAAAGGTGGCTGAAGGTCATTACTTGCTATTCTCTACTGGCCCCCCGAGGGGAGGCTGTTTCTACCACTGGAGCTGGGTGTGCACAGTCTCTGGGGGCTCCAAGCTCAAGCTTCCTCTTTTAGACACACCTGCCAGTCTCTCGGGTCCAGGCACACCAACACAGCACAACAAATCAGACCATCAGGGTGAGGTGGACTGGGGAGCGGAGGCATGCACAAGCAAACAATAGATACACAAGTTACCAAGAGCCCCTAAGCATAGACCTATCCATTTCTGGATTTGCATTGTTCCTTACTATCCAATTCCACACCTTGGCATGATTCTTTGGAATAAGTAAGTGGGAGTAAATCATCTGTAGGTTGGCAAGTGTGCCTCAATGATTTGCAAGCTTTCTGGGGACCCCTGCTTTGATAATGTGCCTGTAGCTTTTCCAAAGGAGCAAGCCCAGGAACAGTGCTGGTAGAATCAACCCACGCACAGATGCCCATAGCTGGAAGGACCCTAGACATCCTCCTCATGCTTACAGAAAGGAAACTGAGGCCTGGCTTGGGGCTCAAGGGGATGATTCAAGGTCAGACTGCTAAATAATGGACCACAGAAGCAGAGAGAACAGAGGGCACTGGACTGGAAGTCCAGCAGCAATATGTGGTCTGTGCATAATAGCGGTTATTGGGGGGAGGAGGTGGAGGGTGAATAGTCCACCGGAAGCACTGAGCAGAGTATGCAGCACAGGACATTCACCGGAAGTGTTAGTTGAACGTGAACTTGAACTCTGTGCTGCAGCGTCCTGCTACACAATGAGCTATGCACAGCTGCTCAGGGTGCACACACAGGCACTGAGGAGTGGCTCCCTAGAGGAGAGAGCGGAGAAGGGAAAGGAGAGCCGGCTTCTTGTAGGCAGGGCCCTCAGGGAACTTCTCTGTTCAGAGGAATCGGGATACTCGGCCCTGGTGGTCACAGTAGTTGACAGAGACCCCCCATCTGGGCAATGAGGCTTGGCGTGTCTTCTTCATGCACACAGGCTAATGCCTAGCCGAGGGCTGCGCCCCCCGCAGGCTCCACG